ATTTGGTTTTTGTTTTTATTAAAAGCAAGGATTGAACCCAGAACTAGGCACATGCTAAGCATGTAGATGATACCCCCAGCTTTGTGAATTAAGCTTTGGGTACCAGATCCTGTAAAATCAGACACAGCTTTCAGCGCTGACTCACTGAGTTGGAGACAGGATGATTTTGTTTTTTCTGTTTTTTTTTTCTTCCATTTTTTTCCTGTACCGGGAATTGAACTCATGACCTTGTGCTTGCCAGGCAGGCACTTATGCTACTGAGCTATATCCCCAGCCCACTATATAATTTTTTATATAATTTCAGATATGCACAACTTGTGATCTAATTAGATCACTAGTTTGCTTACTGGACTTGGACCACATACTTACTTTTTCTTTCTTTCTTTTGGTATATAACATGGATCAGGCAGTGGTATCTGCTGGCAGTGAGTGATACTGCTTTCTAATTCTATAGGTGACCTGGCTTTTCATCACGGCACATCCCTGGAAAGCAGATCACATTGTAGTTGTTTTTTTTTTTTTTTTTAACCTTTGAACATACACATAAAAAGATAAATAACAAAACAGGGTGGCAAAGATCATTTACATGTGTGCTGGAATGTGACATAAGGAAGGGAGAAAATAAATTTTTATTGTGAATATTGCATTTCTGTGTACTACTGTGTTCTTTCACAGCAGAGAAGTTAAAAGATCAGAGAGGTCAAAAGATAAAGGAGATTTAAAAACATCCCCAGATTCACAGACTAGATTCAAACAAAACCCAATCCTGGTAAATGGTTAGGATGCCCTAGTTTTTGAGGCAGGAAAAAGGGATTTGGATAGCAGTAAGTATTCCCATACTCTCGTACATTGCTTCCACTTTTATGAAAGACAGTTTTCTTATATGCATTAAAAGCCTTAAAAGCATACATGTCATTTGACTAAGCAATTCCAATGCCAGTAAGTTTTCCTTGGAAAGTAATCATAGAGGTGCATGAAGATTTACTTACATGTATCGTTATTGCATTTCTTTATATGCATGCTCTATATTGTAACATTAGTTATAATAGTGAAAACAAATTATCTAAATAACATCCAGTAATAAGAGTTGTTAACAAAGATGATATGTCTCTAAAATGCAATTATATTTGTCCACCAAAATATATTATATAGGGCCAGGGATATAGCTCAGCAGCACAGTGCCTGCCTAGCAAGGGCAAAGTCTGATTCCAGGTACAATATATATATATATATATATATATATATATATGAATATTTAATGGCAAGAAAAATGTTTATACCATACTGATAAGTAAAAAGGCTTACAATATTGTATTGTGTCATGGGAGGAGCTCTGTGTGCATGTATGAGTCATGTGGGTGTATCAAGAAGATACAGTGAAAATACCACAAGTGGTTAGCACTAAAAGATAAGATAACAGATGACATTTGTTCTCTTCCTCATCTCTATTTTATAAACTTCCTATAATAAAAATACTTTAAAAAATGAAAATAGTTTACATTTTAGAAGAAGAATTTTTTAAAAAATGGTCATAGGAAGCAACGAGGGACTCAGAAAAAATAGAGGAATCTGGTGGGCAGAACTGGAGAGGGGCTTACGGGAAGCTGGCGTAAGACAGTGAGAGGGTGGAGCAGTTGGCATGGGTGTCACGTTGGCGTGCTCGGAAGGAGAGCCAGGAAGCACACACAGGGACAATGGCGTCAGAGATGGCTGAATGGCGCTCCAGTGGCGTCATCGGTTAGCTCGGTACTTACACAGAGATGGCTGAATGGAGCTCCAGTGGCGTCATCGGTTAGCTCGGTACTTACACAGAGATGGCTGAATGCAGGTCCGAGCCATGGTGCTAGAGTAGTTCCGGTGCATAAATAACCTTTGCTCTAGTAAAAGCGGAGGACCAGGACGAGAACAAAAGACAGGAAACAGAATTGTCTCTAGAATTGGATACAAATGTAGAGTGGAGAGAAAGCAAGTTGAAGTTTGTATTAAGTTTTTGAATCACTATATTTTGCTTAATAATACTCCAAACAGTCTTGCTTCCTTCTTCTGCTACTAAACTCAAGATTTAGGGAATCATTTGTCTAAAGGTACTCAAAGCACAAAACTATTGTGTTAAAAGTTGCGTAGGGGTATTAATATACTTAGAACAAGGTGAGCAACAAACAAAGCTAAACCAACAGATGGAGCCAATATCTTTTGTACTTATTTTTCCCTAGGAAGCAATGGTATTAAAATTCATTCTTTTTGACTTCAAACATGTTCTTAAATTGGAATCACTTCAATATCTAAATGTTTTAAACATTGAGAAAGGTTTGGGTATGTAAAATATTGCAAAAGAAAAGACCCCAGGACTCAGGTCAGTGAAGATGGATCCTGTTACATTGCCTGGCTGGGTTAGGAAACTTAGATTTCTGTATCACCCTCTGTAAAGTGAAATAAAGGTGGCAGATCCTTCAAGCCCCCAAAACTCTTGTCTTTCTGGGCCTGGAGTCACTCCTTTAGTTTCATGTTTATATCTCGTCTATATCTATTCACTCCATCCCTGAATAAAGAGATGTCTGACTGAGGGGAGAGCTGGCTCTTTTTTCCCGGAGAATTCTTACGAAGTGTGTGCCTGAAAACCAAGGGGCACTTTAGCATTCATTTATTCATCGACTTGATCAGTCAAACATTGAACACTTGGTTTTGTACCAGACACTGTGCTAGATCTCAGGTAAATGAAATGTAAGACGCTTCTCCTGCTGTCAAGAAACCCTTCGTGTACTACAGGATTTTCAAGTCCCCTTCTGCACATATCCTAGAAGATTTGAACTTCACTCTTGTCTCCTTTCCATCTTGATTTTAAGAGAAAGAGTTGATGGAAGTTGACTAAATATATAACGAGTATGGAGGTAGAAAAGTCCTGGAAACTGTTGAGCTGGTGCAGGAGACAGACTCACATAGAGAAAGGTATAAACTGATATCATAGGAACTGTAAAACAACCACATGAATGTATCTGACTGTGCATATGCTTTCCAACTTCTAGGAGTAATTAGCTTCAAGGCTCAAAAACTAAGTAGTCAAATCTACCCTATAAAACCTATTAAGTTTTTCTAACCATTTCCTCGCCCTTAAATCCACTTTGCCATTGTCATTTGCCAGGCTTAATGTGCCACACCTTTCCTCACTGCCCCCTTCAAATCTGGTTTTTACCCCCCTATCCAGAGAGATCTTTCTCAAACATAAATGGAGATGTTTCTTCTGATTTTATACATGTAAAATCTAAACCTTTTGTGTAAGATAGGTTAATCTTTTTAGTGCCTCCATCTCTTCATACAAATATTCCTCATTTAATGACCTGTTCACTGACTGTTTGGATTTACATCCCAGGTGCAGTGTTTCAATTTACAACCCACCATTCAGACTTATGACCCCTCTTTTTAGGGCAGGTATAGTTCTGTGTGTTTTGGTTATCACGCTTTGGTGTCTTTTGTTGTACAGTACACCTTTTTTGCTGATGGTAATGTGCAATACAGTACTATAATTTTATTTTCTGTTACACGTTAAGGTACCGCATGTAAGAGTTATACAGATAAAAGCAAAATAATCAAATTGGACTATGGCATTGACTATTTCCTTGTTCTGAATGTTGTAATGTACATACTATATACAATTTCTCACTTAGTGACAAATTCATCTAACAATCTAGCCACAGGGCCTTTACAAGGACTGCCTATAATCCATAATCCAGTACTGTTACTGTCTCTGTAGTTATCTTTCTCTTAGACTACACAGAAATCTCTATTAAATTGGAGCCTGTACTGTATTTTATTCATCAGTAAATGAATGAGCCTAACACTATGCTTTACACACAGTGCGTGCTTACCAGTATTTATGCAGGAATGAAGAATGTCAGTTTGGAGGTCATATTTAGTTGAAATAATAGGTATAAATAAACTTTGGAGATGTTTAGTAGGGGTTTCTTGAGTGAATGGATAGATAATGAGGGTGTGTGGGCTGGAAACATGAATAAGCAATAGAACCCCAAAGAACACTTCACATTTCACTCGGTGTTAGAGGACAGTAAATTTCTGAGTGTGACTGGGAAAGGAGGTAGAAAGCTAAGAGAGATTGCAGGTGGTGTCTTGAGCAGTAGGGTATACTTCAATAAATGTTTCATTGTATCCCCAATCTACTGGGGTAGATTAATGAATGGTATAGTGCACTGTAGTCAGGAGATTAAAAATTTCTTTAGCAAAATCAAATAAGAAAAGAGACTGGGCATGGCGGCACCCAGCTATAATGCCAGCTATTTGGGAGAATGAGGGAGGAGGATGGCAAGTGGAAGGTTAGACAAGTTCGTAAGCCCCTATCTCAAAAATTAAAAGAGGTAGGGATGTGTGGCTCAGTGGTAGAGAAGTTCTGTGCCTGAGCTCCAGTGCTGCAGTGATGAGATGGAGGAAGAAAAGAAAGAGAAGGAGATGGAGAAGGTGGAGGAGGAGGAAGAAGACAGGAGGGAGAAAGAAATGAAGGGAGGAGCAGGGAGAGAGGAAGGAAGGAAGGAAGGAAGGAAGGAAGGAAGGAAGGAAAAAGATAAAAGATAAAGAAAAGGAGGAGAAGAAAAAAGGAAGGAAAAGGGAATGAAGGAAGGGAGGAAGGAAGGATGGAAGAAAGGAAAAAAGGAAAGAAAGAAAACTGGATTTGGGCAGTTAACTGGATTACAGTTTTAGTTTAATGTAGAAGGAGGCAAAGAAGAAGATACGGCAAGGACAGACAACTCTTAGAAGGAAAGGGAAGGAAGGAAAAATATTGGGCAATAGGTGAAATGTGAATTTCAGGGAAGGCGGGGTGTTTGCGTTTGAAGGTGGTAGGCACGTGAGCATCTGTGGACACGGAGGTTTGTTTGGTTGCTCACCCTCATCAGAAGGCCTTGGCAGATGCTTCTGTCTTGGGCAGAGGTCTCCGAACTGAGACAGCAAGCTGAGAGGTTAGTAGGCAACATCAGGGAGTGAGGAAACAGGTGAGAACTGTATCAACACTCGTGGTGCTTGGCAGACCTGAGAATCATCCGGTCCTGCTTGGTGAGGAGGGCAAGCCTGGATCCTGAAGTTGTGAGGTGCTGCCTCCCACTGGTGCAGAAGGTCATGGGCCAGGTTCTTGCTTGCTTCTTACCCTGGCAAGTTTTCAGCTTGACCTGTTGCGTGACTTCACACTTCGTCCTCTCTATATTTCTTTATATTATTCTAGTAATGATAATGATGACAATGGTAATAATAATCACAAAGAATAACCAGACCTTTCAGTGCTTTTACTTCAGCTAATAACTGAATGAAATTATTATCTTAATTTCACAGATCATTAATGTTAACTGAATATAATTTATATATAACTATTATATATTATATATTGCATTTTATGTGGATATAATATAACCATATATTCATAATATAAATATATATTTCATAATGCTGAAATTCATATTTATCTTATATATAAAAATACACATTTAGAAGAAATACATTTATATTGTACATATGTCACATAAATAAATGTATAATAAATGTTTAATTCATATTAATTTATAATTTTATAGAGGCTAATGATTTTATATTGATTCATAATATAATTTATAAGAAAGTCAATAACAGTAGAATTTAATTTTATAATCTTATTTAATCTTCAGATTATCAGAATACAATCTTTTATGAAATAAGGGTTTATATTACATAAAATATTGTGGCTTTATGAATGAAGATGAAGAGATTAGGGTTAAAGACATTCCATAGAAGGTAGTTACTAACAAGATCATGTCAAAATATCAATTTAATACAACTCTTGTGTCCTTAGAGATTCATGATATAAACAAGGGGTATTTAGAAAAATATGTAACATTGGGTTATTTTGGAATCCTTTTGCAAAATCTCTATTCTAGCGAATACTAATGAACAATTTAATTACAATTATAGCCTGTTTACTTTCCTGTTTCTATTATATATTTTTGAAATTAACATACTTCCCCTGGCTATCAGGTAAAAATTTCTTGCTCTTAATACTTACTATAAAAATGCAAAAGTGTGGGGGTGATAGTCCAAATGTGACAGTTATTTGTTTTTAAATCACCAAGAACCAAGTGTATATAGGATCAATATTTGAGTCTTCACAGTCATTGGAACAAGCTGAAAGCAAAATGAATCTTAATGTCTTTTTAAAATGAGTTATGATACCACACAGGAATGACCATGCCTCTTACATTATTCCCCATGAAATTTCCTGGACTGATTTTTCTTGTGATAAAACAAAAGCAAGAGAAAAATGCTTTTCTTTCAGAGTAACCTTAAAGGTCTTCTTTTAAGTAGGTAACAGAAGGTTGGAGATCAGTGTTCAGGGACCTACGCTGCATTATTATTTACCTTTTTGTGTTGGAGAATTACTACACCTATCATACATGAGAGTCTACACTGCAGTTTTAACAAAAGACCTGACTGTAATGATTAGGACAGAGATTTTATTCTCCTCTCCAAAATACCTATTTCTTTCTTTTTAATTCAATTTAAATCTAGCAAGAGAATTTAAATGTGTTTGGAATTTTTAGTGGAGAGAAATACCCCTTAATATCAAGTAGATTAAAAAACATGCATTGAATGCTTGACTCAGGGGCTTTCTCTAAACTGGCCATGAATGCTGAAACCATCTGTTTTCCTGGACGTTGTCGGGGTGAGTGTGGCAGAGGCAGCTGTTTGCAAAGGGACGCTTTGGATGATGAACCAGCCCATTGTTTCTAAGCAATTCACTTGCATTCAGAGGCTCTACCCAAGCGTACTATAGAGCAATCAAAATCAAACTATTGTTTGTACCAATCATATTGATTTGAAAAGAACGTGGTGGGATGACCCCATTGTA